GTGCTGGATGAAAATCGCGATCGTCTCCTATTTCTTGGGATGACGAGGCGGATGGTGGTTATTGTGGAGGAACGTGGTTTGGATCGAGAGGAACGAGTTTGTGAATATTGAGAGGTTTCGAAATGAGTTTGGAAGTTTTGGAGCTTGAGAAATTTTTAGGATTCGGAGACTTGGTAATTTCTGGGGTTTAAGAATATTGTAAGGACACCGGTGACTCTCCAATTTTGAGGATTCGGTGGCTGCAAGAATATTGTAAGGACATCAATGACTCTTCTTTTTTTTAACTTTTGAGGAATTTTGAGAATCAGTGGCTTGAAGAATATTGCAAAGACACCAGTGACACACTCCAATTTTTAACGTTGGACAAATTTCGAAGATTCTGTGGCTTGAAGAATATCGCAAAGCCACCGGTGACCTCATCCCTGGAATATTTAATTTCGACAACATCATCACTCACGATCTCACGACGAGATCTCTCGCCACCCAAGTAATACTCGACCAAAGTCCCCGCCTCGATGCGAACTCAATCGCCATAGAAAGTCGTTTCCCTCCATCGAAAAGACATTATCGTCTCGTACCGTATCATCGAACGCGGCCAAAGATTTCCCAAACGACCAGCATTAAGCCTCACTCTGTCCCCTTACCAAAGTACTCGTACACGGGCTAACATTATATCGGCAATAACGTTCAATCACGAATCTGTTGTACCAAGGAAGATTGTCACTTTTCTCTCGCGTAACGTCCAACGTTGAACCGGATACCCGGAGAGACGGAGACAGCCAAGCGTCTATTATAGGGGCTGGACACGCGAAAACGAAATTAAAATAATGACGTTCGATGGGGAACGGCGATATTGCGTTAAAGGATTCGCAGGAGTACGATGGTCCATTTGTGCACGCGCGATGCCTCGACAACTTGGCCATCTTCGAAGCCAGATTAATGATCCGGTCGCGGGCCTTAAGAGGGCCATTCGTTTCGAGAATAATCTCGGTCGAAAAATGCGAAAAGATAATAAGCCACGTACACGAGCACATACCACGTTTCTCTCTCTCTCTCTCTCGTTCTTCTTCGAGTAAGTTTCTCGGCGTCCTTGAGACCGAATGAGAAATTGGGCTAGCGGGTCGGAATGATCCAGACATGGATCGCTTGCCGCCACGTACATTGTTTCCAGATGATTCTTTGCCGGACCTTTTGTTCGAACCAAGTCGCGAGAAACCTCCTTTCCAGGGAGATTGAACTTCTGCCTTGGAGATCGCTGATGGCTGATCTCCATGCTAGATTATTTTTGCTACGTTGTTCTCGAGAAGCAGAATATCTAAAGTGAAGCGAACGAGAAGTCACATATCTGGGATTCATAGTTCCAGAGACAGAAATTGGCAGACACTTTCTGGCACGAAAGAAAAATTGCTCTAGTGAATCAGTGTCTTCCGAATGAAACAAACATTAAACCACGTATCTAGGATTAGTAGTCTCAGAGATAGCAATTTTTTTGGAAATTCATCGGCCCCTTTTAATAACAAAGAAAACTTCTCCTGGCGAATTAGAGTGTCCCGAATGAAACGAAAATGAAACCACGTATCCAGGATTGAAAATTCCAGAGAAAGAAATTCGCAGACACTTTCTGGCACGAAAGAAAAATTGCTCTAGCGAATCAGTGTCTCCCGAATGAAGTAAAAATGAAACCACGTATATACCTAGGATTGATAGTTCCAGAGACAGCAACTTTTTCGCAAATTCTTTCACTCTTCGATAAGAAAGAACAATAGCTCCATCGAAACGGAGTGTCTCGAGTGGCCAGGATAGATAGTTCGGCGGCTAAAAATTCTCCCCTGGCAGAAATTCCCAGAAATTTCTCAAAGAACAGGCAATCTCTTGAAACGTAACCTCGCTCCATCATCTTCCTCCACCTCCGACGCGAGGATGCCACTCGTTAAAAACTTCCCTCTCGTGCACATCCTCGAGCAGCGAACCTCCGCTTCTCTCAAGCAGCGAGAAACAGGCATAAAACGAAACGAGAAGCGTCCCGTCGCGTGCATTTATCAAGGTTCTCCGAACGGGACAGGCGTAATCGTTCGATAGGGGCCCAATAATCGATAGTTAATTGGAAATGGCATTTCTCAAGGGAGCTCTCTGGCTACCGGCTCGTTCGAGCCTAGGCGAAATGGCCACCGGTGGCCAATTATGCAAATCCGCTTACGGGAATAGGAGGGACCTGGCCGCCGCGTTGGATTAATCGTTTGGAATTGGAACGATTAACCGGCGGAGAAAGAGTTTTCTTCTGCTATAGTCGGTCGGTTGCTAGAATTGGATCGTTTTCTTTGGATCTCTTGTGGGGTTTGATTTGCGTCGCGAATAGATCGGGGCAAAGCGCGAAATTCTTCTCGTTCCTCGTTTGGCTGTTTCACTTTCCTTCGGTGCAGAGAGGCGAAGGAGGAGCTGAAGATCGCGAGGCGCGATTACTCGCGCCGCAAACGGTCGGCGCTTGATTTACGCGCGCCTAATTAAATGAATTAGCCACTTGACACCGGCATAAATTATGGGAGGATGGGTTGCGTTCGCCAGTTTGCAGCCTGGATTTGGAGGGAAATTTGGAAAAGGAATTTTTACGAGAGTGTCATTAGAGTGTATTAAAGATATTCGTGATTGATAATAGAGATGTTTTATCGATCTGTGAAAAATTGTTAAGTGCTAATTTTGTTGGAATTTTCTAAAGAATGATATTAATCACGAGAGACTTATCTCACGAATTATCGCGAGAAAAACAGGAGGACGTTTGGATGAAATTTTCACAGTATTCAGAAATTTTCCATATGCAACGATTACTATCCAAAAAGATTTATCAAACGTGAAATTATTATACACGAATTAGAGAAACAGCAGGATGTGAGGTTTCGTTAAAAACATTTTCTGAGGTGTTTAGTTAAAATTTTCATAGTACCCAGAAATTTTCCATATCCAACGAAATTTTGTTCGAATCGACCCAAATGGACCTACAGAATTAAAAGAGTTAACTTACTCAACGCTGGAACCAATTTCAGCAGCGAATCTCATAACACCTCGATCCACCCACAATTTCCTGAAAACCGCAATCTCTCTATCCATTGACCAAACTAACAACCATACGACGATCATCCAAAAGGAAACACACGCTGCTGGGTAACGCTGCAAAACCGAAGAGAACGGGTTGCAAGTACGCTATCTCTAACTATAACGAAGAAAACGGGTTGCAGTAGAGTTGGTGATCGGACGAGTCCGTCTTCCGGCACGGTTTTCACGAGAAGTTGGCCAACGGGGTTTACGGTTAGCCGCAATTAAACTGTACTCTAATTGGCGTCCGTGCACCGTTACGATATTAACGCGAGCGACGGAATAATCGAGATGAATCGTAGGTGGAACAAAGGCGTCCCTAATGGCTACATTTCTCTCTCTCTCTCGCTCTTCCCTTCTGGTTATTATTGCCGACGCTATTACCTGCACGGTTCATTAACATTTATCGACGACGCAACCGTACGTAGTGTGTCCCGCCTGGCCTGGCCGATGGCTATCGTTTAATTGGGGTCAGCTGATTAACTGGCGTTTAGGCGGAGGATGTATGTACACAGGATGGAAGAAGAAGAGGGCTCGTCCGTATTGTTTGTCGACGTTGCTATCGACCTCGTCATCTCGACGTCGTCGGCGTTCTGCGTTACCTCATCGACGACACGTTTCCTATTAGTACCGCGGCCTCCCTATTGCCTCGATCACGTTTACGACAGCGTGAAAACGATCCGCTCGATGGGACTTTCGTTCGACGATTTGCGTCATTAAACGAGGCGCGCCTCTCTCTTTAAGTCTCTCTCTCTCTCTCTGTAAATATTTCTCTCTT